TTGGCTGTTTTTTTTATTAGAGTTGAAATACAACACTAGCGTGCAGAAGGAAGCGTTCTTTGGATTGGGAACACTGTTTAGTATGTTGACTTAATGAGATTAAAATATTCCTTGGAAAAGGAAAGATTGCCATTAAAATGTGGCCCTCCCTGAGGGGCAGATTTCCTTAATAATCTGCCTACACTCAGTTTTAAGAGCATTTCAATATGTAGTGAATAACTTGCTATCTAGCATAGACTAACAGCCACTGATCCTAAGATTCGCTTGGTCATGTGGCTTTGCAGTGTTACCATGCTGAAGGCTCTATGCGTTTCCCTTAGAAAGCTATATACATGAAAACCTCTTAAAAGAATCTTCTATGTGCATGCGTCTGATCAGAAAATATCCTGGGACCTGGATAGAATAGCCTTTAGGCCGTATAGTGCCATCTTAGTGTGAACCAGTTAAGCACTGGTGTGTCTAATGAAACAGAAATAATAAAAATAATAAACTGGGTTATTGAAACTGCATGTTTGTCTCAGTAATGGCTGGCAAAAAACTGCCAGAAATGTAGTGTATAATTCAAGGCCACTTGAATACTATATCTATTAAAGTGTTTTTCCTATCTCTTTCTCTAGCTCCAGAAATCTTAAACTATGATCCTATTACCACAGCTACAGATATGTGGTAGGTTGTATTTATCGTTATTGTTATTATATGTTAATTCATTTTATTGAAGTAAGCATGACTGCTTAACAATCTAGGGGCCAGATCTAGACTCTGATGTAGTTTTATCTGGCATCCGAGATTTCCCTTCTATTGGTGGGCTGACCAGTAGTGGGAGAGTTGGGAGGGGAAGGACCCCATAGGATATAATTCAGGGCTTACAGGAATTACTGTACTGGGTCTGTTGTACACCTAGTAGGGAATGCAGGTGAGCATGCAGAGTATAGGTGTTTGTTCTAAGGGAACAGTAACAATGATTGGCGAGCATACTCTAGCTATGCTCTTAGATTACATCCTTTAGGTGTTAACTACTCTTGGATGCCCCTCCCTATCCACTTTTGTGTCATTAAATAATTTTTTTATACAAATGGTAAGAACGATTTAAACTTTCTGCTGCTTATCTACAAACTGAGTCATAAAAAAAATGAGACAAGGACCTTAGACTAATCCACAACTTATATTAAGTGTACCTTTGTAGCCTGTTAATTTCATGAGTTTTGTTAGTGTAAAGGCTGGCTTTGGGATGTTTCCTTAAACATAAAATATTCATATGTTGTTCTTAAGCATCTAAATAATTAAAGTTGAGTTTTAAAACTTGCTATGATCTAATTACTCCTTTGAAATTGTCATATTGTTTAAGTATCCTAGTAGGATTATAAATTGTGTTTTTATCTCAGGAACATAGGTGTAATTTCATACATGCTGCTGACACAAGAATCTCCATTTGTGGGGGCGGACAATCAAGAAACCTACCTTAATATATCTCAAGTTAACGTGGATTTTTCAGAAGAAACGTTTTCATCAGTTTCACAGCCTGCCAAAGACTTCATTCAAAAACTTCTCATAAAAAATCCAGAGTAAGTAACAAACTCCTCTGGGCAAGAATCTTACCTTTTATGTTTGTGGAGCACCTAGAAAAAGTGCATGTTAATTTGTGAGATAAATACCACTGATGTCATCAGTCAGACACTTCACAGTGCATAGGTATTATCAGCTGGATATTTTTAAATGCAGGTTTATGCTTTTCCATAACGTATGAAAAGGATCTTTGGTTCACTGTCTGGCTGTTACTGTATTGTGTTGTCTGGCTTGTGCTTTGAGTTTTGTGTTTTGAGTTTCTTTATATTTTCATTTAGAGGTCAGATTAATAATAACTATATTATAGAAAGGTCATACTCTTGTGTATAATTTAACTTTTTATTGCACAATTTGGAGAGACAAAATGCAGTATTTTTGATGCAGTACTTTCTTGTTTCCCATCTTAATATATCTTTCTACTTTAATACTTTTTTAAATATAAAAACTTGGTGGTCTTTAGCATATAGTTCTCAGAAATAAGTAGTGTTCTGACATATTCAGCCTTTAAAAAAAAAAGGAGGGGGAGGGAATAACATTTAGTGAAGTCAGCCTTGTTCTACTAGGCATGGTCAGGTATTGCCAATGATAGTGCTAGGTATTGTCATTTGTGGTGAGACAGTAGTGCCTGTCTTCTACAGAGAGCTTGCAGCAAGCAGGAGTAACCCTGTTTGATGGAGAAAGAGGTCCTTTGATAGGAGGGGGATGATGGGTGATGGCATCCATGAAGTGCCTACTTTGACGAAATAAGGCCTCCATATAAACTCACGTCTGAACAGTCCTTTCTATTTTAGTATCTCACATATAGGGTTTATCTATATGTGGAATAATTCTCAGAAAGCATAGTGTCATGACACCCTGGAAGGAAGGAATGCCATCCAGAGGGACCTGGACAGGCTGGAGAGGTGGGCCCATGCCAACCTCATGAAATTGAGCAAGACCAAGTACAAGGTAGGGGTAGCAAGGCCACCTGGGTAGGGGCAATCCCAAGTACAAATACAGGCTGGGTGGAGAATGGCTCAAGAACAGTCCTGAGGAGAAGGACTTGGGGGTGTCAGTTGACAGAAAACTCAACATGAGCGAGCAGTGTGCGCTTGTAGCCCAGAAAGCCAAGCGCATCCTGGGCTGCATCAAAAGAAGTGTGGCTGGCAAGGCAAAGGTGGTGATTCTGCCCCTCTGCTCTGCTCTAGTGAGACCAGACCTGGAGTACTGCATCCAGCTCTGGGGCCCCCAATATAAGAAGGACAAGAGCTGTTGGAGCGGATCCAGAGGAGGGCCACTAAGCTGATCAGAGGGCTGGAACACCTCTCCTATGAAGGAAGGCTGAGAGAGTTGGGGTTGTTCAGCCTAGAGAAGAGAAGGCTTAGGGTAGAGAGAGAGAAGGCGTTCCCGTTCCTGAAGGGGTCCTGTAGGAAAGCTGTAAAAAGTCCCTAAGTTTTACAAGGGCAGGCAGCGATAGAATGAGGGGAATGTCTTTAAACTGGAAGAGGGTAGATTTAGACTACATTTTAGGAAGAAATTATTTACTGAAAGGGCGGTGAGATACTGGCACAGGTTGCCCAGAGAAGTTGTGGACACCCTCTCCCTGGAAGTGTTCAAGGCCAGGTTGGACAGGGCTTTGGGCAACCTGGTCTGGTGGTAGGTGTCCCTGCCATGACAGGTGGGTTGGACTGGATGATCTTTAAGGTCCCTTCCAGCCCAAACCATTCTGTGATTCTGTGATCATAAGGGAAGCGGCTGTGAAGAGCCTGCTTTGATAAATGTTCATGTGGACCTGCAGGGTGTTTGACATTCTGTCACAGTCACTGCTCTACTTGCTTTCTTACTTCTGGGCATCTCGGAGTCTTCGTTATATCCTCAATAACCCTTCCCCCTCCCCCCCCATTTTAATTCTTGTTGACCATACCTTTGTGAATTTTAAGCAGAAAAATCTGTCCTCAGATAGTCAACTCTAAAGTTACAGTGGTCTAACCAAAATAATATGTTCTGGTAGGGTTAAGGACACATAGTGGACTCTACTGGACTTCCAGCAGAACATGGTGAAAACTGTGGTAGCACTAGATTAGGTTATCCACAGGAACAGTTTTGTTAGTCTGCGATTCATTTGGTAGTAAGTGCATCTTGGAAGGGTTTACAGTGTATGAATTGCAAGAGCAAAGCACTGCAAAATGTCAGATAGGCTTGATGACACCATGTTATTTGGCCTTCCTTGAAAACCTAATGACTGAATATTGATGAGCCTCCCTATTCACAATGGTCTGTATAAAACATAGGACTTCAAAAGCATAAGCATGTGCATATATATATGTGTATATAAATATAAATATATGTATGTGTGTGTATACACACAATGTTGAAAACATTCTAAGGGACTGTGAATACTGGCTGAGAAATACCTGTTCCTTGCCCTGATGAAAAGCTTACCAGTTTAAACACTCAGCAGTAGGGGAAACTGTCAACTAAAATTTAGATGCATGTTGCTGATACATAACCTTAGCTACAGTGGCGTCTAATGTGCTTTGTAGCAGCCATGATGGTGGTGGTAAAACAGCAATATTAACTCTTTAATGTCAATTCTGCTTAAGATTTCTCAGCATGTCAGAGTGATTTTAATTACATTTTTAGTATTTCTGAAATTAACTCAAGCAACTTTACCCTTTTCTCTTTCAAAGGGAAAGACCCACAGCAGAGGCCTGTCTTTCTCATTCATGGTTGCAGCAAGGGGAGTTCATACTCTTGTGTAGCCCTGAAGAAACTTGTTGCTCTTCTCCGATGCCAGGACAAACAACAAAATGCTCAGAAGACCGGAATGTAAAATCCAGTAGTAATGGTACCTGTAGCAACAAGGAAGACAAAGAGAACATTCCAGAGGACAGCAGTACAGTCTCCAAACGTTTCCGTTTTGATGATTCATTGCAGTATCCCCAAGACTTCATGACTGACTTCGTATGTTAATGTGTAATATAGACTTTTATGAAACTAATTTAGCATAATCTATTCCAGTGGTGAATATAAGATTATGGCTTGCCAATTCGTGCAGTATTGGCATACTGGAAATGCACTTTGATTCTCTTATGCTGGTGCTTCCTTTTCTATCCATTGCTGGCAGTGGATTTAACTCCTGAGAAAATGGGGTTGTAGCACCAATAAATAAAATGAATTTTTTTTAAGAAGATATAATTAAATATTTTTGCACTTTTCAAGTTTTGGTCCAAAAATTATGCCGCAGTGAACAAACCAAAACATGAAACTGATTTTTTTATTTTAAACTCAGGCTTTGCCAAACAGTGGCTGAACACATGCGCGCTTTTGACTAGCCTTAATAAGAAATTGGTCTAAGCAGGGAAATGGAATCTAGCTGTCTTGCTGGGCTTATTTGTGACTGTTTTCATTGCTTTAAATGGAAGCAGAAGTTGGTATGTTTTGGGAATATGATATATCTGCTGGGGCTGTGTGAAAAACTGCTTTCTCTCTGGGATCATTAGTAGTTAAGGAAAAGTTTTTGCCTTATCAATCTGGTCCACTTAGGGATTATAATGCAGACTCTGTTCTTCCTGTGTTGGATCTCTGCAGTGCTTGAATAGAAAACAGGTAGGTTGTCAGTCCTTGTGCCAGTGGCCCTTTGCTTCTTATCAATAAGTTGTATTTGAAGAGGATGAGGGTCCCATGCTGATGTATTTGATAAACTTGTTACATTGCTTTCATAACACCTCTGAAATAGTACTGTCTAGCTGTATTGACCTATTCCTCATCTTAAAAACAAAAAAAACAAAACCCACTCACACGAACTCCAACAGAAAGCCTCTTTAAACTCTAAAAGTAGTAACTGAATAAACTGAGAATAACCATTTTTGCCAGTTGAAGCTGCAATTAAAAGCTTTTCATTATGCCCCTCTAATGTAGAAGTGCAGTGCATCTTTGTCAGTTATCCATAATAACTTATCTCCATGCCCGAGCTGAGAAATGGACTGCAATATTTAAAGACAAACTACCTAGTAATTGGTTTAAGTTATTAAATTTGGTTGGTTTGGGGTTTTTTGTTATCCTTTCCACTTTCTGTTTCTAGGCTCTGAGGAAATAATGCCTATGTCAGATTTTGACTTGGAGCATGATTGGTTAATCATGCCTTAACATTCTGGAACTAATACTGACAAGATAAAATATTAATTGTAACACTGATCCTGAAAGTCTAGTCTTTATTTTGTAG